CCTTTGCAATACTTCTACGGCTTCCTGCGTACAACCGGGTGATCCACTAGGGGTACTGTACCACGATCGGATCGTGGATGGCGCAGGCAAGCGACTCTTAAACGTTGAACGAATGTATTTGTATGCTTTTGGACTGTAAAAATTGATTGTCATGGCAAAAGCGCGAAGCTGAGGTGGATATTGTCCTTTTATTTTCCCACTTTCTATTGCTTGTACTATAGTGGACTTTTCTGTTAAACCCTACAAGCACATCGATAAAAAAGAACTTAACTACATATGTAACAGTGAAAGAAGATAATAGAAGGATAACATAGAAACAGGAGAGAATGTGATAGAATTTGACACATGGAAAGTGTATGGAGTAAAAAATATTCGGAATGTTTGGAATTTTATACAATCTTGCAATCGTGATTTTGGATCGATGTTACTGTATTTTTATATAATTGTATAACTGTTAATATTTGTAGAAATTACAGTCATTATATTGTTTACAGAGATCTAAGACTAATTCTATTACATTTTCAGTGTAAAAATATAGTTTCTATGTATAATTGAAGATTATTTAAAATTACAATTTATGTTTAATAATGTTGGAACAACAGTTTTCAAGCTTAGAGTATTCGAAATAACATATATATGTATATATACACACTAAACGAGTTTCTTTCAGTATTTTCAATTTCTTTTGTCTGTCACCATGACTCCGGTTGTTTTTCCTTTGCTCCCACTCCAATACTTCCTCTTCACTTCTGTTCTGTGTTTCACACGTTGAAGACGTGTCGTTTAGCTCCGAGTTTTATCAATTGTATTCAATTATAATAAACAAATTTATAATTCCCAAATCTGAGTTCCATCAGGTTATGGGCCCAGGATCGTAAAGAGTAATATAAGTAATACTTTTCGGAGTAAAGATTAAGTAATCTGCACGTGTGCAATACGTAAGAAGAACTATTGGAGCACACCATTTTTGTGTATTGCGAGAGTTTTGAAGAAAAACCATGTCAGAGGAAATTTCTATTCGGCACAGGCCGAAGTTCGATGGGACTGATTTTCTTGCTTGGAAGTTCTCTATAACGCAGATTTTCAAGTCAAAAGGTATTCAAGATGTCGTCGATGGAAGCAGAATAAGACCAGAAGATACTACAAGAGAAACATACAAGTTTTTTGAGAAGGATAATGCAAAAGCGATGTTCACAATTGGTTCATCCTTAGAAACTAAGTTTTTACGTCCACTCCTGACATGTACATCGGCAAAAGAAATGTGGGACAAATTAATCCAGATACACGAACAGAAGTCAGCGTCTAATAAGCTCATTTTAACACAAAGATTTCACGAATACAAAATGGATTTAACAGATTCCGTCGTTGAACACGTTGCTAAAGTCCAGAATTTGGCTCAACAATTAATAGATGTTGGACAAGCAGTAGATAACATTACTATTATGGCAAAAGTTCTCGGAAGCTTACCTTCGATATAATCCTCTAAAAACTGCCTGGGATAGTGTTCCAGAAGCAGAGCAAACTCTTGACAAATTGATTGAGAGACTCATCAAAGAAGAAAGTCGAATTGCAGCGGATGATGATTCAAGCAATGCATTAACAGCAGATGTT